ACCCCAGGGGACCTGGGTGCAGGCTGCCTCTGTTAGGAGGAGGGTAGAAAGGTGAAGAGAGGGAGGAGCAAGGGAAAACTGCAGGAGACAGTGGAGTAGGGTGGTGGAAGCAATACGTTTTACTTGAGAAATGTTCATTGGAGCTGTGAATGACTTATCCAGATGGAGATATTCAACAGGAAGCTAAAAACATGCCTCAGGGGGAGAGTAGAACTGTAGATACAGATGTGGAAGCACTGAAGATAGAGCCCTAAGGGTCCAGGGGATCCTTGAGAGAAATAGTGGTCTCTTTCTCCACTTGCTCCCTCAAAAATCTCTTTCATTCTTGGTGGGGCATTTTTATTTTGAAAGTGGTAGTTGATGCAACCAGTGAAGAGCACGGTGAAGGAATCCTCAGAGAAGTAGTTGTTCCTGGGTTGTATAGCGTCATGGAAGATGAAGGAAAAGGGAGATTTAAAAGGTGAGGGTGCGGGGGGGGGGGGGGGTTAATCTCAAGTGCAAGAGAAAGTTGGATTGCTTGAACACTAAGCAAAGACTCTCCCCACTATTGGACTATGTCTGCTTAGTACTTCTGACAGAGCACTCATCACGGATAGTTTAATTGGTTGTTATTCTCCACCAGTAGGTAGGGGTAAATGGGTATTTTTAACTATTTTATTCCCAACACTTACCGCTAATAAATGGCTGACTGAATGAACAAGCAGGTAAATGAAAGTGTCAGTTGTGACACAAAGAGGAGTTTCAGTACGGAGGTGGGTGGGAAAGCCAGACTGCAGGCCTAAAGTAAGTGCATGGTAGTAGAGAGAGTCAGGGAGATAGATACAGTGACATAGTTTTCCCCTTGTACGGAATAAAAGAACAACCCCGAACACATAAATTCTCACAACTGTTGGCTGTAATTGTGGTTATAAAGACAATGAACTGCCACTGTGTCAGGGAATGTAGACGGGGGAAAGTTCGGGGAAGAATGATATTTCTGTTTATTCTGTTGACCTAGTGGTACTTCAGAGAGATTCGGATTGCAAGAAGAGCCTCTGGCCGACAACCCTGGAAGCTAGATCAGAACAATGATATACACGATCAGCTGTGGTTCGAGAGCTTGTAAACCAGTGCCAGTTGGAATGCGCAGGGAACTGGGAGCAGCAGTCTTCAGGCGGCCAGGTGAGACTAATCTGGAGAAGCTTTAGGAGGAGATAAATTTAAGCTGTTTTGAAAGGGGACCATTCTGGTCAATTGGCAAAGAGTCTTAAAGCACAGGATTAGGTATTTTAATTTGATTACTTGAGGTGATTTGGAGCCACCTCAAGGTTCTGAGAAGACTTAGTAAAAATGTTTGGAAGATGACCCATTTCAGTAGTTTTTAACTTTGGCTGCATATTAGAATTATCTGGAGAGCTTTGAAAACACCCTGGTGCCCAGTCTGCACCCCAGAATAATGAAAGCTAGAGGAGAGACCCAGCCATCAATGGGTTTGGTTTTTGTTTTTAAAAGCTCTCTGGATGAGGTGAAAGTAAGACACTGTTCTAAGTGTAGAGCAAATTGCAAGCAAGCAAGAGAGAAACTTGAATTAGAAAGGTTAAAGAGGAGGCTGGAAATTGTGAACAGAGATAAAAGGGGTGAAGCTAAATAAAGTATCCTGCAGAAAAGCTTGGTTGGACTTTGTGATGCATGTCAGTTGTAATTTTTCATAAAGCTATATTCCAGAACCATCACTGCTCTTATTGTGATGGATTAGTCAGAAAACGAGCAGGTAGGACTTGCTTTGCTAAAAACTGGGGCTTTTACTATTAGCAAAATGCTCTATTTCTGAGGTAGCTAGACAGGTCAGAAGAGAGAACACAATCATATTAAAAGTATATAAGCTTTTGTTTATATTTGAAGGAAGAAATAAAGCCAATGATGGATGCTCCAGAATTAAGACTCAAAATTCAGACTTTAAATTGAGTTATGATTAGGAGATACTGGGCTCTGGTTAAAATTACGGTCCCTAGGAATAACCTTGAAGGAAATACAAAGTCAGAACATTAAGGACACTACAGAGAAGGATTCCCTTTCATTTTCAATCATAACATTCCTCTCTCCTGTAATGAAGACTTTGTTACAGGTACGGGAGATGGATGGGTGGTGTCTCAGAAGTGGTGAGCTCTCAGAAAGGTGGGCTGTCAAGCAATGATGACAGTCCCAATGTACCTGTTAGATCACTTTAAATTTAATCTGGCATGTCCCATCTTTAACGTTTAGAGGAAAGGTGGAATGTCATCAAGTGGCACTATTATTTGTAAAATGTAATGTTTCATAATATAACCTATATAGGAATATTTGATAAAATATAGACTCTGAAAGAGAAACTTCACTGGCAAGAGCACCCTGAAGAGAAGCAACTGCAGATAGTTGTGGAGCAAAATAATTTTTTTCTGGCCCTGGGGGTGAGGATGGGCCTTACAACCACGATAACCTTCCAACAAATAACCGCTGTCATTTTTTTAGAGAACAGACATGGAGCTGTAAATGAAAGACCATTGTTCCTATATTCCTGCGCCCCAGTGCTGCATCCCTGGGGTGAAGGGGATAAGGGAGCCGGCAGGGCTGCTCCTAGCCGTAAGTTCAAAGAGGTCTATGTTGTGGTTAGGGGTGGAGTAAGAGATGGGGACACTATTTTCAGAAGACCCTTGAGAAAATTAAAGGAGCGCACCCTGAAGGGACACCCCTCCTTCTCCCTCTGCCCCCGCACCGAAGTTGCTCAGGGCTCTAGCTGAGTAGGAGGGAGTGTGATGAGGTTTGGGGTCAGAGGGAGAGAGAAAGCAAGTTCACAGGCCTGGGTAGGGTTCAACAGCAATGAGCTCCTGTGTATAGTGTGGGAAGCAAATGGGCCTGGAAAGCGAGGAGGAAAAGGAAGACCTGAAAGGTGTGCTGACTCTCTGAGAAGAAACCTCTTTCTTCCACTCCGCCTCGCTTCGCCTCAAGCACACAAGCCATCCTACTTCATTTCATCCTGCTGGTCTGACTACAGAGAGGGGCTGCAACAGAGGCCCAGAGTTACTCAGCGTATCCCTTAGAACACAGGTGGCAAACACCAGACCCACAGGCTGAATCCAGCCCTCCATCTTGTTTTATCGGGCTGGGCACCTTGTTTCTACCCGGTGGCAGCACCAAGATCCTTGCCCTTAGTTAACTAGTAGTTACATTTATGCAGTCCTAAAATTGAAGACCCTTTGAAGGCAACCACAAGGTTGATGTGGCCCCCCATGAAAATGAGTTTGACACCCCTGTTTTAGGACATCCAGGTCCTCTTAAATGCTCCCAATTTTCCTTCCCCAGGTTTGCTGTTTCAGAAAAGAAGTTTCTGAGTTAATATGCTACAACCCCCCCCCCCGAATGTTGGTTTGCAAAATTAATGATCCTAAGGAAAAGTAAATTAATCTTTGATAGTTGGATGAAGTAAGGAGAAAAAAAAAATCACTGTTTCAGGGGCTGGGCCTTCTTAATGCACCTCATCTATAGTGTCAACTCCCTCCCTTCCATGCCTACCACACTGGGGGGGGGGGTGCAATGCAGCTTGTAATGCCATCACTGAATCCAGCGGGTCCTGATGCATTCACTCATTCTGCAGACATTTATCAAATGCCTGGCACATGCAGGACAGTGCCACATGCTCAAGAGGAGCTAGGGAAGGCTGCATACTGGAGGTCACCTGACCTAACTTCCCTCTCAAGTTTTTCTTGCTCTTCAGACAATTATGGGTTAAAAAGGCTGCAGCAAACACTTTGTAAAATTTAAATAACATCCTCATAGTTTCATCAATTTTAGGAAGAAACAGCTTTCTCGAAAGCCCCCATCACAAGTCTGAGGGTTCAGGGATCTTTCGGGATTAGGGGGATGTTAAGGGAATTGAAGTTCTCTGATCGCCTGGCTGCACCTTCTGACCAGGGACTCTGCTGCACTGCATCGCTCAGTTCCTTTCGGCTGAAAAATCAAATCTGCGCTCTTGTCAAACTGTGTCATCTGCAGATCAGACACTCACGGTTCACCCTTCTCTGGGCAGAGTCAAGGTGCAGCCCCCCACCCTTCTGAGTTCTGGGGAGATCCGGTGTTCGGGGAGGAGCTGAGCAAGCGGCGTCCTGGGAGTGTCCTGCAAAGCAGAGTCTGGGAGTTCCACGGGGCCTCGGGGCTTTGAAAGGAGCCAGTGTCCGTCCATTTCCTTGGTTGTGAATCACACTCCCCTGTTGGGCTTTAGGAGAAAATTTGTGAAGGACACCGCCAGCGCGTGGTAGGAACTGCCAAATTCACATCAGAACCAGGAGTGTGTGTGAAGGGGGAGGGAAGAGATTTTTCAGAGGGTTCCCTTCCAGGTCTGTTCGTCCTTTGTGCCCCATGACTGGGTTCTTTGAATGTAAACTCTTGGAAAGAGCAAGAAGGAGTCTCTTTCAGGCCCCCTGGAGTATCTTGTCCATCAGTAAATGCTGAATGACAGCGGCAATTTCGGCCTGGAACACCCGGCAGAGATGGGGGTTCTGAGTGAACCCCCAGCGGAGCGGCTGGCGAGGGCGGGGGGGGGGCGGTGACTAGGGAAAGGCCGCCGGGCTCAGGCGGCACAGTCAGGCCCCCTGCGGCGTTGGGGGCGCTCAGAGGGGGGCTCCACCTGGCTGCGGCGCTACGGCCGGAGGGGCGGGGCCCGGCTTCCCGGAGGCGGTGGCACCGCCTCGCCTCGCGCCTGAGCGCGCTCCCGGACGTCCGGCGCACGCGCGAGGCCGGGGAGCGCGCCCCGGCGGCAGCGACGGCGGGAGTAGGAGGAGGGAGGCTGAGGAGAAGCTGGCGGAGCGCGCGTGGCGGCGACAGCGGCGGTGCCGGCGGCGGGAGCCGGAGCTGAGGTGGCGTGCGGAGCGGGCAAGGGACGGAGGGGGAAGGAGGCGAAGGGGAGTGAGAGTCACATTTCCAGTTCCGAACTCTGAGCCCCGAGTTTGTAGATGGGGCTGCTTCGCGGCGCCTGCGGCTGACAGAGAACAGCAGCAGCGGGCGGAGGGGAGTGGAGCGGCGGCGGCAGCGGCGGCGGCAGCAGCGGCGCGGAGGCGGCGGAGGTGCGAGTCGGTGAGTTGCCCGGGGTCCCACATCGCTTGGGTAACGGTCTAGCGAGAGCTGGGGTCGGGCGGGGCGGCGCCCTGTTGCTGCTCACCACGCGCCACGCGGGGACCTGGGCCCGCCCCGCCCCCTCCACACCTGGGGTCCCACCAGTGGGGGCTGGAGGCAGGGAGGGCGACCAGGCGCCCCTGGCCGGCCACGAGGGACGGGCGCCTTCGTCGGGCCCTTGGCTCCTGGGCTGCGGGCGGCCGGCGGGGGTGCAGCGCGACAACGTGTCTGGCCCATGCTGCCGGCTGCCGGGCCGGCTCTACCCACGCTCTGCCCTGCTCGGCCCAGTCTGGGCGGGGCGGGGGCTGGGGGCGCAGAGGCCGGCACCCTTCTGCGGCGTGAAGTCTCGAATGGGGAACCGTGCCGGGGCGGCCACTGTCGGGGTCAGTTCCGAGTGGGGGCGATTCCGCAGGCTCTTGGCTTGCTCCTTGGCTCCGAATTCTTGGTGAGAAGGCTTTATGCAACTACTGCTGTTACTTCCCGGGCACGAGACTCCAGTTTTTTGGCTAAAGTGGTTGTGGGCCGAGCACACGCTGTTCCGGGGGCGTTCGTTGCCGAGGCGGTGCTTTCCGATCCTGGTTACGCCAGAAAGGTGCCGGGGGCTTCTCCCGCCACACCCCCGCCCTTGGTGACGGGGCAGGAGGGAGTAGGTTGAGGGCTCTTACGGCCTGTTTGATGACAGCTTGTGGATTGGTTGGTGGACGTTTTTGTGCAGGACTTTTTAACACTTTATTGGGAGTTTAGTCTCAATCTCACCAGCTCCTGAGCTTCCATCATCCTTTAAACTTCCATCAGCTGGAGCATCGTTTGTGTAAATGGGGGTGGGGGAGAGTAGGGGGCAGGCGAGGAAGGGAAATGAAGGCTGATGGGGAAGCGTAGGAAATTGTCTGCATTACTTACAAACAGCCTGTTAAGGGCAAGTTAGCCACGATTTACCCTTTCCTACGCCTTTGGGGATTGTTGGAATTTTACTCTCTACTTCCCGAATTGGTCTTCTTGTAATGTGACTTGGAACATTTGAGGTGCGTTAAAATGGTCTTCAATTGGAGTATGATTTAGCAGCCATTTCTTCCCATGAAATCTTTCAAATGGTCGTTTGGAAACTTACGTATATCGAATATATTAGACGAGGTAACACACTGTTATCAATGCGGAGATCGTTGCGGTGCATGGGTATGAGAGCAGACCTCACCAGGCCTGATTATAGTCACCTTCAGAGTCCTTACAAAGAACTTTTATTGGTTGTGTCACTTTGAGGTCATTTGTATCTGAAATTATCATACACTTAAACCCATGTTTAAATATATGTTTGCACAATGTGTTACTTTTTAAGGTTCATGTTTAATTTAGACTAGGATTACATAATATACAAATGGTAATACTTTTAATCGCTCTGTGAGATTGCACACTAAACAGGAAAAAACATTCAGGGTATGTGTATGTGTGTCCTTTTCTAACTAATACCACCTTAATACCTTTTCCACTTAGAATTTCAAAATGATTTTTTTAACATTCTGGATTCAATAAACACTGGAAAAATTAAGGTGCTTAAGTGACTCTGGTAGGCTCTATGTAAGGCAGAATCATTTTATGCTGTTCTCCAGGCCAACTGTTGGATTTTTAAAAAATGAATCACATTTTTCTTGAACATTCAAGGGAGCAGTTTCCTCTTCTGTTCTGCCTTCCTTTCTTTCCTTCTCTCTCTATTTCAGGCTGAAACTCTTCCAGAAGACTACACAGCCTGCTGCTGTCTCTCCCCTCTCCCTCTGTTTTTAGTTTGGGATAACCAAGAAAATCATAATTATGAGACCCTGTCTGTATATGTTACTTATTGAAAAGCTTTTTTTAAAATTGAAATTGTTTATTTATTGAAGTTTATTTATGTACTTCATCAGTGGATAACAGATGGTTAGCAGAAGACAACCAAAATTTTAATTAAATGACTTCCACATTTTTTGACATCCAAGCTTCGTTAAAAGTAATATCAGCAAATTATTGCTGAAAGTTGCAAATAGTACAGAGATAGTCCTGGTCAAAGGTTATCTAATTATAAAAAACACCAAGAAAATAAATATTAAAGGCAAGAGGAACCATTTGTACTTTTGACATTGCTTACTTTATTATAACTTACCTAGTTTTAGGTGATTTTGAAAAGTAGTATTTTGTAAATTAGACCTTAGGTATATACTACTGAAGATAATTTTTTTTTTTTTGAAGATAATTTTCTTTTCCACAGTGATTCATTTGGTGACTAAATTTGTATCAGAACTCTACTTCAGGTGGATATAGTTAACTTGCAAGAGATGTGTTGGTATTTATTTCAGGACACCTTGCCCATTAGATGAAAACAAGACTGGACTGTTTGAGGATATCGTTAAGTTATTCCCTGAAAAATTATGCTACTTTTGTTTTACTTGTAGCTTCTTTTCTTCCAAAAATAGTCTTCACATTTATGAATGTCGTTAAGAGCAAGACAAGTGTAAAAGATCTCCTTACGGCCATGGTATTTCTCCATTGTAGGGACTAGGTTCTGTTTAGAGTATTTTTGGTCAGTCTCACCGGAGCTGCAATGATTTCCCTACTCTCTCTGCTATTTTTGTGTGGCCACTGGGGGGAGACCTTACAATTTAGGTGGACCTTATCCTTCCCTCACGTGCACTGGCTGCTAAGCATCCCTGGGCACTTTGCCAAACTGCTGGAAATGTGTTGGGGAGGATGCACTCAGAATGAAGTCTGGATCAAGGTGTGTAATGACTCTTATTTCTGTAGCTCCCATCACACTCACAAAGTACCTCCCTTTTATAGATTGTGTTATTAACAGTCTACTTTTTGGTCTACTGTTAAGTGGGCTAACTAAATATCTAACATAGTGAAAGATGAGATTCATGAATATGTTACAGCTTTCAAAGATCTGACTTTACTGATGATAATGTCAGAAGCAATGCAGGTTTAATCACTTGCTTAGTGTACACAGATATTGGTTGTCTGGAAAGATCTGTAGAGAGCCTCACTCTTCTGCGAGGTGTACTATATCCAAAGCTCTTTGAACAGATATGTCTCCTTTGAAAAAGCTTTCAGAGGAGAGATGTTGAAGCATCCCTTGCACTTAATTTCACCACCCAGGGGAGTTCTTTTTTTACCATAGTAATAGGGGTAAGATTAAAACACAACTTTTTTAGCCACTAAGCTGTGGCTGTTCTAAAGTCAGAAGTCTGGTTTTTCACTTTTTCTCATCTGACAGTATTTAACCATGTTAATGTTGAATTTAATGACAGTGAACTCAGTTAACAAAGGATGTTATGTTTACAAGAGCTTAGAGTTTATGTGTTTATGTTCTTCCTTAAGGCCTTTGTACAGTCTTGATCATAGCAGATTCATTACAAGTATAATAAACCGGATAGAATTTAGAGTAGTTCCTATCATCCTGTTATCCTAGATTGTTCTTCTTACTTCCTTTCAGGTGGCTTTGCTGTTGTCCTAACTTTCTTTTTAAAAAAAATCATAGTGTATGAGAAGAGCTGTTTAGGAAATGTTCATTCCTGGCTAACCTCAGGATTGTGTCAGATACTCGAGGATGAGAATTTCTACAGGCCTGTAGGTTAAAGTCATCACCAATATGAGGCAGTGGTATAATATAATATAGTGAGTTTTTAATAATGCTCAAGTTTTTTCAGATACTTTCCACTGCCTACCAGTTTCTATACATGATGTAAACATTACTTTATACTTTACCACTGTACACTTAATTCCTCTTACATCTGTTACTTCTTTGCCAGTTCCCTCACACCCCCTGGTTCACTACATTCCATCTGCACTGCCCTTTTTTTTATGTTCCTCAGAAATGTCATGGCTTGTTTTTGACTTAGTACTGTTCCTTCTGCCGAGGTTTTCTTCCTAAAGCCTTACATGACTGCCTTCTTTTCATCATTTCAGGTTTCCATTCAAATACTACCTTTTCAGACCAGCAGTACTATCTAACTACCATTTCACAGTAACACTGTCCTCACCTCCCACTACCCCATTGCCTTCTAATTTTTTGCAAACCATTTGTTACAACTGATATTTATTGTCTGTATGTTTTCACCAGAGTGTAAGTCCCATGAGAAAAGAGTGATTTTATCTCTTTGTTTAACATTATATTTCAAGGACTTAGACCTGTCCCAGACACATTGTTATTATTAAGTAAATATTCCTTTTCTTTTTAAGTGTGAGATTCTGTTCTTCCTGAGGTTTTGGTGTTAAAATGTCCCTTTAGGAAATGATAGGAGTAGATGGTAGTGGTGGTAAGTAGGCTAATTTTGGCTGTAAGTCATAGAAATCCATCTAACCCATATAAGCAAGAGGAGAAATTTATTGTGAAGACGCAGGAGTGTGTAATGGAATCCAAAGGTTGTGACTCAGGGACTCCAGTGCCAGCATGATACACTTCCTCTCCTCTCTGGTCCTCACTGTGCATTTGCTTCATTTCTGCTCTGGCTGCAGAGGACCCCTTCCTAGTCCTCTTAATGGAAAATGTGTCACCAGCAGCTACGGAGTTTCCCCTGTACCCACCCAGACAACAGGAAACAGGTTCATCTAGCAGCTGTCTCCAACCCTGTTCAGAAATTGTTGTGTTAGAAGTTGGTTGTACTTGCTGTGACCACGTGAAATGAGTTTGGAGAGACGACCCAAGTTGGTGCCCCAGTGATCATTCATGCACACATTTGACCACCTCCCCACCAAAAGCTGTGTCCCCTCTTCTAAAGTTTGATGGTATATGAAGCTAGAGGATCTGAAAAGCACTCTCCTGGTGATACTCAAAAGAAATGTTCTTTCTTTCATGGATGGACTATACCATTTGGTTGAGGACAATAAAACATATATAAAGGAAAGAAACAGTCAACAAAAATAGCATGGTGATAATTCAGGAACTGAGAAAAATATTTGCAATTTGTATTACAGACAAAAGGCTAACTTCCTTG